ACCGCTTCTTGGGGAACTTGGGGTCCCTTTTTGCTGCATCTACAGAAGGAAGTGAAAGTCTGTGTGAGAAGTGTGAGAAGCACTGTCCTGTAGGAAGCAAGCAAGTGGTCTGTGGTGCGGGGAGGCCTGGGGGACTCTGAGATAAGGGTTCCTCCTGTTTTCAGAGTATAAGGAGGTGGTGGGCAGGAGGAGGGATTGGATCTCCTCCCAAGGCTGTCAGTAAGAAGCAGGATTTCAGCAATGAGGTAATAGATTGGAAGGGTACAGGAAGAATACAGAGGCTAGCACAGAAGAGACAAAGGAGCATTTCCCCTCTCCTCTCCACGGTAGCAAGGGGCTGCACTTACTCACAGCGGCAGGGGCTTAGGGCCCAGCCCTGAGTAGACCTGCTAACCCACTCCGGGGGGGTTCCGGGACCCAAGCGCACAATGGAAGCCCTGCAGCATTTTTGGTTGTGCTTTTCTAGGCATCCTGCCTTTTGGGGGGGGGGGTCCTGCCATGTGATCACAGGCCAGAACTAATTCCCGCTCCATCAAATGACCCACTGTTTTTCAACCATTCAGGTTGGATAGATTCACCATCTTTGATGATAGTGATTTGAAAGAAAGCTTTTGAGCCCCTCGACATCACTTTCATAGGTAAGCGGGTGAACAAGCGGGCAGAGACGCTGCCCTTTCACCCCCTCCCTCCCAGGCACAGATGTGCACACTTGCACATGCACAACACCCATGTTCAGGTGTCCATAATCAGGCACACACACCCCACGCCCAGCGCCTTCTGCGTTAATGTGATCAAGCCCACAGGGATAGCCACAGAGGCCAATGATGTAAAAGGCCTAATCAACTTCATTTACCCTACATCTGCCAACAGGATTCCTGGGGCACAGAGAGGAGCAGGACCTGATTGGGGTGCTCAGGTTTCTCAGGGCCTCCTGGCAGGGAGTGAGCCTAGGGAAGCAGCTTGCCTTGAGCGCAAACTGCTGCCTGCATCAGCTCAAACAGTTTCCCTTGCACCTCCGGGAGAAGTGTTAATGAGGAGAGCCGAGGGAAGGCTGCGCCTGCCTGGTTGTAACAGTTTGCTCCTCTTGGCTCTTTTGGCTCCATGGGACTAAGGAGTTTATGTGAGCAACACTCCTTGAGGGTAGGACAGTGAATGCCTGGGAAGAGAGCATGCAAGTTTGCTGCCCAGGGCTCCCTTTCTAAAGCCAGCACCCCCAAAGGAGAGCAGCTGTCAGAAGTGAGGAGTTGTCCCTGCAGCCAGCCACTGCTCAGGGCTCAGGGTTTGGGGCGGGGCTGTGGAATGACAGAAACTTGAGGGCCAGGCTTGCCTCGCCCAGACTGAGGTTCCTAAAGAAGACCCTGCCTGGCCTCCTCACAGCCCCTACCTTTGCACCCAGGTCCAAAGCAAAGCCCATTCCATCAGTTTCTCGGGAGGGAAGGGGTGCAACCCCCCAGGCTTATCCAGGACTTCAGGCACCCCCACCCTAGGGAAAAAGGAGGAAGATTTTCTTGTCAAGAAGGACCCCTGGGTATAATGACCCTTCTCATGACCATCTCATAAGTGTTCAGCCTATGGATGGAGAGACGGCAGATCCCAGAGAGTTCCACCATAGCTGGGCAGGGAAAATCAGGTAACAGCCTAAAAACCTGTTCAGAACCTAGGCGAGGACCAAAGTCAGTGGGCAAGCAACAAGGCAGCAAGGGGGAAGATCCAGTCCCTATCTCCAGTGCTAGCCTGGGGGAGCCAGCAGTTTCCATTTTGCTGAGGGCACATCCTAAGTGAAGAGGATGGAATCCAAGGACTGTGAAGCTGAGGAGCTGAGGAAGAGAAGGTTGGGGAGAGCGTCTGGCAGCTCTGGGAAAACAGAACAATATCTAAATGGGGCGATGGGAGATGTGTTACACAAGTTATATAAAGCTCTTCCACTTCCCACAAGAACTTATTTTGTGAAATAAAAATAATCAATGTAAAGGACCATAATCATAGATTAAGGCGGGCTCAGGGGAACAGCCCTGGCGTAGGCCAAGGGGTATCTTCTGGGCTTTATACCAAGAAGTGGGGTTCCGGTTCCAGAAGGGGAGGAGGATGGAATGGGGCTGCTGGGCTGGGCCTGGAGCCTGGAGGTAGGGTGACCCTGCTGGAAGCACTAGGATGGTAGAGTCTGCCAGGAAGCCTGAGCCGGCCAATGAATGGAGGCGCTGGGGCAGGGAGGGAGGCAGGGAGAGGAAGTAGGTCTCTGCTCTAATCTCTCCCTCTTCTGGTCTCTGTATCAATTAACTTAACCTACCTCAGAGAACTGTGTAACACTTGGGCCCTCCCTGATGGCCCAGCAGTTAGAGGACAGCACAAAGAAGCTAAAGCTACTTTAGCATGAGTTCAATCCCCAGGCTCACATGGCGTGGCAGACCTCTCCTGACTCGCCCGCTGCTCCCCTCAGCAGTGTACTTAGTCTATCTGCCTGTTCTGCTCCCCCCTCTGTTTCTGGTGAAGCCTCTCACTGCTCCTGCACCTCTGGCCTGTACCCCAGCTCTGTATGCATAGATAAATAAATCTTAAAAAAAAAAAAAAGAAAAAAAAAAGAACTGTGACTCTTTTGCTTCTCACTTGGGCTGATGCATAGTCCCTGACAGGATTCCCACCTCTTCTCTGCTTCCTCCAATGTGACCTTACCTAGGGTAATACTAGAACAATCATAAGTTCAGCTCTTCTGCTTTCACTTCTGTTTACTCAGGCTTTGTCCATTTTCCCAGCTTCATCCATGTCACCTCCCCTCTCCCCTTCACACTCTGTCACATGGAGTTACAAATAGTTTCTTTAATACAACTTGCTTTGCCATGCCTCAGGGCCTTTGCATATGCTTCTCCACTTTGACAGAAGTGTTTTTCCCAGTTCAGTTGCCAGTAACCAAGAGGCTTTCTGTGACCCTCTCTTCCTATGGCCATATTTCCCTAGCACTTTGTATACAGCACTAGGTGGGTCCTTGCTCTCTGTATCATAACCATGATCATCATCTGTTTTGTATCTATACTAGTGAAAGGACAGTACCAGCTGGTATTCTTTGGGTGTGGTACCTAGCACAGCGCCTGGCTGATTGTTGGCATTGAGAAAAGGTTCCCTGGGTGACTGAATTCACAGCTCAGAAAATAGAAGACACCTTTTGGAAAGTCTGTCTAACCGACAATGACCCCCTTTTTCTAAACACTGCCCCAAACACCAAAGGGACTAGATCTGGACCTCTGACCTGAGCAAGGTCAAGTGGAGTCCATCTCAGGAAAGTGACATTGACACTAAGATAAGCAAGTTTGTTTCTGGAACTACCACATGTAAGCTCTGGAAGGCAACTATGGAGCATGAAAACTAGGCAGTGAAGAAAGTCACACCTTGAAGAACGAAAATGAAGTGGACAGTGTTTCAGATGGCTTTCTGATTCCTGTCTCTAGGTTCTTAATAGAGTCACTTGGGGTTTATTTTCTTCAAATACCTTTCAATTTAATTCATAAATCATACCCTGGAGTGTAGATTAGACTAGACTAGATTAGATTTTAAATCAGCACATACATGCAGAAACAACTATGCAATTTACAAGACCCAGTACAAAATGAAATTGTGGGATCCTATGTTCAAAAAGGTGGAAAAGGCTATCATTAAAATATCAAGCTGTTTCTTTTCTTTTTGACTTGTCATGGTGTTTATTACCTATTTAATGTCTAAGTAAATAAAAGTAGTATTTTAAGTCATCAGTGTGATTTTTATCATTTATCTTTATATTAAGCAATAGAGAATTATTGAAATTACAAATAATCTGTCTCTTTGATTTCCCCCCAGAAGACACCTCAAACTGGCCAAATATGTGAGCTCAAGTCCCTCCCAAGACACTAAACTGTTTAATGGAGAATCCCTCAGGCACAGGAATTTTTTTTACAGAGCAAGTTCAGACCCTTACATGCCCCCCAAAGTCTTCCCCTGAGACTTGAGCCCAGCAAACTTGACAACTGCAGCTTCTCCCTTCTACCAGCACCCAGATGTGATAGATTCTGGCTGGGTTTGGGGAACTCAAGCCAGGCAGCCCCCATTCCAGGAGACTGGCTGACCCAACCCACAGCAGATACGTCACCTGGGGTCTTTAAGCCTCGGTACCAGATATGCTCAGTACGTGGTGGGCAGAGACTCACCTTCCACAAACCACCTGCTGGTCTCAGTGCTGCAACAGAGGCACATAGCCAGGTGCACGCCCAGCCTGTAGACTGCACACTGGGCCCTGCACCTTCCTGCCTGCGCACCAGAAACACAGGGCAGCAAAGTTCACTGGGGGAGGGAAAGAAAGTCCTCAGCATTTTCTCACTGCCAACCATCAGCCAGGCCTGTGCCAGGGAGCTAAGTAGTGGGTAACCAAGAACCAAGCTCAGGGAGGTGGATAGGTCTGGAGAACCAAGGAATCAAGTCCGTAGTTTATGCCCCATGTCCCACTGATCTCACTCACAAAACCCACATTTAAAATGAGAATTTCAAGGCAGTGACTACCCACGCATGGACCCTGTTATGACTGCACCAGTCACCTGCCCGGGAAGTTGGCCCCACGCACCTGAGGAAACCATTGAGTCTCTGTAAGTAGCCTCAGCCAAGGAGCTGACACAGAAGAAAGTAAACACAGTTCACAGTCATGTTAAGGAAATTTTGAACACTTGCCTGTATGCCAAGAATGCCAGCCACATCTCACCTGAAGACCAAGTTAAAGAGCCGACTCTCTCAACCCAAATTTCAGAACTGATCAGAAGCTGTGGAAAATATGGATTGAATTGGATTTCTAAACATTAAGTCAGACTTAAAATTGTTTCTATCTATTTAAAGAACATGTCATGAAAGAAGGCAGAATAATAGTAGAACAACAAATAGGAAGAGATATTACTGGTTTCCATTGCCAAATATTTTATGCTTATGGTTTAATTTTTTTTCTTTTTTGCTTATGGTTTAATTTTAACATGAACTTTACGTTCCAGGGTCTACATAAAAAACTTCCTGTTGCCATTGGCTCCGAACAAGGCCTTTCGTATATCTGGCATCTTTTGCTGGGCTAAGAGATCCAGTCGGCTCTCCAAAGTATTGGAAACCTTTATTCTCTGATCTCCACTGTACATATCCACACCTCCAGCTGCATTCCCAGCCAGGTGCACCTCTTGGTCTACTTGGACTTCCACACACTTCTGGGAGATTGCCATGTACTCAGGGACAGCCTTTTTCAGGGCAGCCTCCACAGGAAGGAGGTCCTGTGGTCTGCAGCGTATAATCACGATTGGTTCCAGCAATCGGAGCAGACCCTGCAATACTAGTTTGTCCAATAGCTCCTGGTACATCTTCGGGTCTTGCACAATCTTGCTGAGTCTTAGTTTTGCATCATTCAGCAACTCTGTGATGAGGTCATTTCGGGCTCTGAGGACTTCCAGCCTGGCTTGGTTCCTCAGGGTGGACATCTGGATTTTCTTCTGCTGCTCTATCTGCTTCTCTTTCTTCTCATAATATTCCATGATTTTCAGTCGTTGGGTTTGCACAAGGCGACCTTTCTCGATGTTGAACTCTTCTTCAGCCTTGGCATCTATTTCTTCTGTCTTCTCGTTGGCTTCCTGCTCGATGAAAGCCATCATATGCTTAATCTGTTTCTGAACATCAACATCGTTCAGGGCCATGGCTGCTGCTGAAGAGGAAGGTGGAGGGAGGACTGATGGACGCTGGTTCCTTTGACTTAGAGCAATTTCCAGGTGTGTCTCTAGAGTTCAGTTTCCTCAGCTGTGGAATGCATAAGGAGAGGGAAGAGTCAAAATCTAAAAGGGAGGCATGTGGAAAACTTCTACTCACCATGCATCTCGCAGATGAACCCAGAGGGGGAAAGCAACTTGTCAAGGTCATGCCCTAGAAAAGCAAAGGTTTCAAGATTCCTGGTTTGCACCCTGATACACTCACCACCTTTTTTGTCATCGAGTAATAGTGAGGAAATGAAAGCAGACCTAGCCCAGAAGTTTTCCAGTCAATAGTCAGCAATGGCTCAAGGCTCCTTCTGCAAGTCAACAGAATAGAAATGCCAAACTAATATACAAATGGAAACTGAAGCACACTTTTGATTGGAAAGATCTGGATGCATCACAAAAAATTTACCAGGTAGGAGTCAATCCAAGAAGGCCGACCAGAGGCAGGAGAGTTTCAAGAGCCCCCAAAAGATATAGAGGCATAAAGATGGTCATCTCTTGGGTAGAACCAGGAAGTGGAATGGGCTAAAGGGAATCTTTTCACTAGAAGTGGTTTCCAGAGCTATATGGATGGATATCTGAATCTCCTAGGGGGCCTTTCACAAACAGTTTTCCAGGCCCCTCTCCAGCCTACCAAATCATAATCTTTGCCAGTGGGTCTGTGAATCCATGTCTTTAGAAGTTTCCCTAGGGTATTCAATAAAATAAAACTCAAAGCAAAATGAGAAGGAATATTTAAAAGAACCCAAAAAAGTTTGGAATTAAAGAATAAAATCGCAAGATTAAAAAATCCACTAGAGGGTTTCCACCGTAGATTCAATTAAATAAATAAAAAGAATCTACAAACTTGAAGACAGGGTATTTGAAACTTCCATGTAAGAGATCAAATAAAAGGAGTGAAGAAAGCCCAGTGGGTGTGTACTAAAGGGGTCCTAAGAGGAGAAGAGGGAGAAAAAGGGGCAGAAGATTTATCTGAAGAAGTAACAGCCAGTCTTGACAAAAGAATGATATTGAATCATCTTACACCATATTCAAAATCAAAAACTCCACTTCTGGGTATTTATTCAAATAAGTTGAAAATAAGATCTCAAAAGATATTTGCACTCCCAGATTCATCACAGCATTAATTGCAATTGCCAGAAATGGAAACAACCTCAGTGGTCATTGATAGTTGGAGGGATAAAGAAAATATTGGGTATTCCAGTATTTTATTTTACCTTTTAAAAAGGAAATCCTGTCATATGCTACATCATGGATGAACCTTAAAAACATTATGCTAAGTGAAAATAACGGTCACAAAGACATACCTTATGACTCCACTTAAATGGAGCTAACTGAAAAAGTGAAATTCATAGAAGCAAAAAGCAAAATAGTTGCCAGGGACTGAGGGAAAAGTGCTTGCTGTTCAATGGGTAGAGAATTTCAGCCATGCAAGATGAAAAAGTTCTAAAAAGCTGCCATACCAACTGTGCATACAGTTAACAATTTTTAAAAAGTTAAAAATGTGTTAAGAGGGCAGAATTCATATGTGGTTTTTTTTTTAAAGATTTATTTTTTTATGTATACAGAACCAGGGTATAGGTTAGAGGTACAGGGGCAGTGAGAGGATTCACCAGAGACTGAGTGGGGACCAGAACAGGCAGACTTTGACAAAGTACACTGCTGAAGGGAGCAGTGGGAGAAAACAGCGAGGTTTGCTATGCCATGTGGGTCACCTCCATGGTGGGGATCGAACTGCTGAAGCGGCTGTGGCTAGCTTCATAGTGCCGTGCTTTAACCCACTGTACCACCAGGGAGGGCCCTACGTGTTTTTTTACCACAATTAAAAAAAAAAAAAAAACCAGACTGTTGTCCCAGAAAGATGTTCCACTCACCAAACTTGTTGGAAAAACAATCCCTGTTCATGACGAATTCCAAGGTTTTGGATTCAATCTTACAAATAAATTATCGCTAGAAATTAAAAAGAAAATACTTTAGCCCAATCATTCCTCTTTATTTTATTTTATTACTCATAATTTTTAAAAACTACACTTTTGTAAATAGAGCAAAACATATTTTGCTCCTAAGCAAGGTAAGTTAGTTAAATGGTTTGTCTTTTTTTTAAAAAAAGGTTTTAACCCTGCTGGTGACTAATTTTGCGGGCCACTGTCAACGAAAGCAGAGTGAGTTGGAGAGCCAGAAAACCCCAGACTCACTGAACAGGGGCAAATGTACCAGATGAACCCTCACCAGTCCCCTGCCAAGGCCGGCTTTGCTTTGGCGCCAGGAGTCTGCAAGCAGAATGTGGAATTTGGAACACCCACTGGAACCTGGCACTGTTGCTTCCTTCTTTCTACAGACGACCCTTGCAGCCTGACTGGGCAGCTTGATTCCAGACCGTCAGGCTGTCACTGAGAAGGCTGGCCAAGTCTGCCAAGGAGACGCCAAAGGGATTTCCTTGGACCATGGGCCGGGCGGGGGGCTACTCTCGTACGTTCAGCATCTCAATTAAGTTGGTATCCAAAGGGCCTCAGCCCAGGCATGGGCTCACCCTAACAGATGAGCCCTCAGCAACAGATACTTGTGTGAACCCAGACAGCCAGATTATTAATTTACTGATGAAAAATACAGCTGTCACGTTGGCCTTCTTTCTCTGTGTGTGAGTTACATGGGAAGCCAACCAAAGACTGTTGAATGAGAAATCAGAGCAAGCACCATTTGCCAGATGGTCTTTCAGAGGCCACACCCGCGACGGGGACTGGAGTGCTCCAGCCCGTGAGGGAGGACATATTCTCCATGCCCCGAGAAAGCCTCCCGCCATGTGGCCTCCAGAGTCAGGCCACTGGCAGGCAGATCCGAGCTCTGCACTTACATTTGCCTGACTTTGGTCATTCAGTTCACCCCTTGAAGCTTCGGTTCCCTTGGTTGCTCACAGTACCCACAGGGTAGGATTATTGTGAGGATTAAACGAAGGAAGGGAATGCCAGCATGCGGCAAGCATCTAATAAATGTTTGTGCTTGGTAGTTGTTAGCGCCATGACCACTATTTGTAACAGGTCCTCTCTGCATGAGGCCTCATCCCTCCGCATCGTGCCCTTAGTGTGTACAAAGGTCCTGTGACTGGCTGGACTTTCACTGCCTCAAGTAAACAGGAACACATGTTAGCCTCACCTCTTATAAGCTACATAAACCTGCCCAGGAGGCTGGGAACCTCCCAATACGTCTTGTACCTCCTCCCAGTAGCAGATGGCCAGCCACATGTTTCATGCTGTCTGGTGAAGTTCACCAGTTCCAGGGTTCCTGAGCTGGGGTGGGGTGGAGTCGTTGCAGCCTGTCACATAGCACCTTTCTGACTCTGCAGCCCCAGGTCCCCAGTCTCCTCTGCGCAGTCCCCGGCCCAGCAGCTATCAGCGCTGGGACTAGACAGCAGCTGCAGAGGTGGGGCCGGGGCAGGTTAAAAGTCAAGGCTAGAGCAAGTGTCCTGTAGGAATGCGGGTACATATAATGTGTCTGGCAGATGTGACTTGCAAGTCTGTCTGGGAGGGGGATTGGGCACCCACAGGGACCAGTGACTTGAGCAAAACAACAAAACCAAGCAAAAAATAAATAAGAGGCACGCATATCTGCTCTTATCCAGCACTCCAAAAAAGCAAGATTTTGTTCTAAGTGGCACCCCCTTGTCTGTGTTCAGGGCTGGGGAGAATAAGCTATTTTACTCTCCAGAACCATTCAGTACCGACACCTCTTCACCGCCCCCCACCAACTAATAGCTTTTGCTCATACCTTCCCTTACCCTAAAACTCCCTCCTCTGTCTCTCTCCACCACTAAATCCCACCTACATCTTCTGACCCAGTTTGAGTCCCACCAGTTTGACCTCTGCACTCTTCCTCAAAATAATGACAGCCTGGCCTATTTTCCAGATATAATTCATGGCTAGATTCAGTTATTTTACTTCCTCTAGGAAATTCCTTGAGGACAAGAGTATCCTGCTAGATGCAGATAAGCACTAGTTAAGCATGAATTGATAGGATTAGGGACTTGGTGGGGGGCTTTCTTCTTCTTTTTCTTTCTTTGTCTTTTTTATTTTGAAATGTAATACACCTTTACAAAAGTCGACCTTTATGTGTGTTTTAATGAATTATTATGAGGTCCTATAACTACCATCCTAGGTCAAGAAATAAAACATTGCCAGCATCCCAGGGGACCCTTCCTTATGACCTTGGGGAAGGAAACATTTCAAAATTGATTATTTTGCAGTCATGGGAATAGGAGGGGTCCTTAAAGGAAGCATGAGCTTGGAAGCCTCTCTTCTCTGATCCCTGGCCACTTGAGCCCAATCACAGTACAGAATCTACAACACCTTGATAGAGACGAGGGGAGGCAGAGTGCTTGGCGGGCAAAATCTGTGAGTCTGGAGCCCTGCCCTGAAGCAACTGTTCATTCCAGCTGGGATTTGTAAGTAAGTCTGAGGGCAGGTGTGTCTGGGTGTGTGCTCCCCATGCCTCACCAAAAAAAAAAAAAGCAACAACAGGCAAGAAATCCCAGCATTTGAGAGAATGCAGAGTATGGGAAAGGGGTGGCTCTTTCCAGAGCTTGGAACACTCGCAGGGACCAAGAAGTAGATGAGGAGACTTAGAGGGAACTGACTCCTTTGGAGAGTCAAATACTAAATATGTGGGAAGGATTACCCCCCTTTTATCCTTCAAGAAATATTTGAACACCTACTGTGTGCAGGCACTGGGTGAGCACTGGAGCTAGAAAACAAGGCAGACACCAGCCCTGCCTACTCAGCCCGCCATGTAATGGAGGAGAGGAACCACTGGCAGGTAATCACGCTGTACTATGGTGCATTGGGAATCAGTGGTTTCAAGAAAGGATGAATGAAGGGATCCAACCCCTAAACCCTCCCTTCCCAGCACATCATAGGCTCTGTTATAATGTATTGCCCTATGGACAGCTAACTCCTGTATTGGTGGCTTGAGACATCTGTGAACATAGACACCTTAACTTACAGGCAGGTTGCCTGGCTAAAGCGTCTAGTTGATAGTATTCATTAAAGAGAA